TCTGGTCTTGTAGACCTTCTTAGCAAGTAGCACGGTTCGAGTTCTGATTCTTGTTTGCTTGGGCCGGGGTCTGTTAGCTTTGAGCCGGGGGTTCGACCGACTGGGGCCATATACCACCCCTAGACTAAGTTGTACAGTCTTTATAGGTGGGTTCTGCTTCGTGGTTGAGGCTAGTAGACTAGAATGCAATGGGCGTTGCTCCGTGCTGGAAGGATGGAGCCGGGGGAGTACCTGCAAACAAGCTTTGCAAAACCTCCCATAGAAAGTAGACGCTAAGGCTCCATGTGCCACTATAGCATATACTTAGGCCTTAAACTCAAAGTACCAATAGAGGAACCCCTATTGCGCCCGAAGTATACACTATATGGGTACATGAGCCTTAGGGAGAGGCTGCAAATCTGAAACCTTCAACCACGTAGAAGTGATACTGGCGACCCTAAGGCCCAACGCCTTGCTGCAGCTCCAGGGTTTAGGGTTTAGGTTTTATTGCTTAGCGTTCAGAGTTTAGGGTTTAGGAGAGGATGTAAGTGATAAGGCGTACTCTAAAGCTTAAAGCTTCAAGAAAGTCCCTGCCGGGAACCAACACAGATCCCTTCCGAACACCTTTCGCAAATTCTGGGTTTAAACCTTCTAGAGCCTAAGCAGCCCTAGACCCCAAATCCAAAACCCTAAACCCTGCAGCATAAGCCCTACCCATTGGCTCCACAGTAGTTCCTTTTTTGTGGTTTGGAACTACTATGGAGCATATGGGTACAGCATAAGCCTCATATTGTCTAAATCCCAATTTTGCCCAGAAATTGTGGCGGCAGACACCGGCTCCGATTTCACGCGTGAGGTCCTTCAGGAGCTCAATAGAATCTTACGACGGTAGGGGGGGGTGAGGGCGTTTGGTTGAGGGTTTTGGGCATAGGGTTCCGTGTAGGGTTGTTGTAAGGGTTCTATTAGGGTTGCATGAGGGTTTGGGGTACAGGGATTTGGGCTGTAGGGCTTGGGGTTTTAGTCTGGTGGAGTTTGGGCCTAGAGGGTTTAAGCAGGTCTTGTTGAGATCCCGAGGCGGGTCCTATCTTGAATTTAGTTCCCCCAATGAGGGAGCTGTGCACAGTTGGAGCCTTCCGGCAGGGCTTTCCGGCTTTTGTGCTTTCCGCGCTGTAGAGGTTTAGCTTTTGTTGGCTGGGGATCAGTAAAGTTCTTGGCTAAGAGGTTCATATGTGCCAACATTGCAGCATGGGGTCTGACTTTTATGGTTTTGGGCGCTTAATGCCATAGTTGCAGTGCATGCGGACCTTCTGGATCGGGTTTCAAGATGTTGTTTTCGAATTTTGCCTGGTGCGGCGTGGTGCCCGTCAGCACTTTCAAAGAGCATTCCAGTATTCCTTCTTTTTGTGAACCCGAATGACTAGATATGTAGAGCAATGTATAGGAGCCTACTAGAGGCCTTATTACACAATAAACCCTATCCACCTTATGCACTCAACAGACTCCAGTTATAAATGCCCCTGATGGTCGAGTTTGTTAGGGTGCTCTTGGTTTGATTTTCGGGCAGCGGTGCTTGACGGCTTATGGTTTCGTGCTGGTGCAACACCAAGTTCATTCCAGTGTTCATGTTTTAGGTTTACGGGTTAAGGGCCTTTAAACCCTAAACCCTGTACCCTGAACCCTAAATAGTAGGTTACTAACCATCTACCAGGTAACCCCTTGAAGGGTGGGCTTAGGGTTAAGAGGGTTCCATCATCACCACTCTCATCGTAATCATTGTCTCTTCTTCTTCATCACCATCGCCATGCCTCTTTCGAGGCGTCCGATCCGCGACGAGTACCTGATCGTGCACAAGGGACAGCTTGCGGGAACGGGAAAGCACATTGGCTTGCCCTGGTTACAGCGCCATTGCTGCCATGCCTGTTGCACTGATGGCTGCTGCAATCTTTCTTGACTGCTTGCAGTGGGTGCCACTTGTTCCAAGTGCCATTGTTTAGAATATCGCCAACAACATGGTAGCTACCATGTCATTATGACCATGACTGCCGAACTTCCTGTACTGCCCGCACCTTCACTTCAGTATCATGAATGATGTAGGGGCCGAATTAATTACCTATGCTTTTTTGGGGAGTTCCTTATCATGATTATAGTGCAGTATACCCCCAAACCCAAGTCTAATTATAAAAGCCCCCTATCCTGAAAAAAACCCAAAACCGACAGTTTATGTCCTCAATCTTACGCCTGTGCGTCCGAAGTTCATTCCGGCTCGGCCTAAATTGAGCTGGCGATGCACTGAGCTTGCGACCCCTGGTCAGGTTTACCGACTTGTTGAAGAATTTCCTTAAATCAAAAAAAGTGTATTGAATTTTCTGACAGGATGTCAACGCCCGCCCTGCGAAGCTGCAACGGGTGTCTACCGGTGGCTGCTGAGCGGACGGCTTTCGGCTGCACGGAAGACGCACCAAACTCAGTTTCAACTGCACAGCTGACGAGTCCGACCAAGAATGTGCCGGCTAGTCTGGAAGCATTTAAATAGCTTTTGAGGGTTCCATTTACTTGTGGGAACTTGTGAGATCCATGGCGTGTGGCCAACACTTTAGATGCCACCTTGTAGGCAGCCTTTCAACTGAAGAGCTGCAGGAGCAAAAGGCCGGCGAGGAGCAGTGTGCGCGAGGGAGGGAGAGAGAAAGAGAGAGAAAAACAAGGATCTTCCGAAAAGGAAAAAATGACCGTTTCGATCTTCATGACAACAGCTGTGCCGTCGGGAAGAGTAGCACAGCACCTAGTACTTGCGACAGCGGCGAGTCTGTTTGTGATGATCAGCAGGCTCGGTATTCTGATTACCTGGTTTCACTGCTTTCTGTTGTTGCTATCAAGTGTCTTGTTGTCATTGAAACTGTTGCTCGATCTCTTCATCTTCTTGCACCTCTGGCCTGAATGCATGATACGAGACGCGATGCCAATGAATCACATGATACGGTCTGCACCAAGAGTATGCTGAGTGTGGTGGGCGTCGTGGCTGTGCTGGACATGAGCCGCTTCGGTTCACAGCGTTCTCTCCAATGAGAGAGGTACCTGATCGAAATGCTTCGAATCCATGCAAAAATCTCCAACCTTAAACCTTATCCCTGAATTTAAGCCCACATCTAACGGTACACGGTAGTTGTTCGAGATTCCTGTCCCCAGGGCTTGCATGGCTTTAGGACGTCGGCGCTTCAGGGTTCATGGTTTAAGTTTTAGTGTTCAGCTTCAGGGCTGTAGAGTTGTACAGCTCAGGCTTCAGGTTTCAGATCCGCGGTAGGTCGTATCTTACCAGAGTCTCCCTTGAGACGCATGGTAGCTTGAGGAACACAGGACTAAGTATAGATAGAGCCCAATTATCCCCAATGCTAGATCCACCCAAGGAGGGGCCCCCTACGGCTTGAGAAATCCCCACGCAGAGTTTGTTGCTTGTTCCAGGTTTAGGCGCCTGCCGTACATGCAGAACATGCCTGCGCAGCAACAGCAAGTCTTCCAATGTTCCTGTTGCTGCCAGAGCAGTGCAAATCAGACAGCTCCACGAATCTAGGTTCCTGTTCAGGAACTGAGTTTAAGCGACCATATAAGGAAAGCATATTTTCCTCTTTGGACCCTAACTCTATTGTGACCTAAGTTCAGCCCGCCCCTTCAGAAAGCCCAGGAGTTGTTGAAGACATGGAGGTGGAGGTGGTAGCTGCGGTGCAGCTGGACGAAACAGATCCAGAGGACGACATACAAAGTGGCAAGCTTGCCAGCCCTGTCACCAAGTCGCGGAGCTTTCAGCCGGGCTTGCTGACTGTTGATCCAAGTCTTATGCGCGGCATATCGCTTTCAGAGACCTTGCAGAATCTCGTTCCTTTTCGGCAACACGTTCGATGTTGGTGTTTCGGTTCAACCGAAGGCGAAATCCTGCTTGCCCTGTTGCGAATCCTTTCAATGCACTCATATCTCAACATGGACCTAAACCCAGGTGTCAAAGAAAAGCCAATAACCCCGTTGCCCCAACTTTAGGCCCCTAAGCACCAATGCTTCCCCTGAAGCTTCGTCCCTTGCTGCTTCAACCGCACAAGCCCAAATAATTTGTAACAGCAATAATTTCGAATAGTACAGTATGGCATGGCAGGGCGTAGTGTAGTATAACATACTAATACTACACTGTTCGATGAACAGACGAAGGCATGGTGGACGCCTCTGGCGTTCCAAGAAGTACCGGTCAGCTGCCTGGTCGTCCTCACAGCCAGCTGAGCACTTTGATGTCTTCCTCTCCCACACTTGGGCTACGGAGTGGCACTGGCAGCCGGGATGAGCAGAGCTTGGGGTTTAAGGGCTTAGGGTTTAGGGATTGGGTTTAGCACTGGGCACCTGGGATGATCTTGTTACTTTCTGGGTCGGTCGGCTTCAGGGTTTCTGGATACTTTGTGTTCATATGAGTAGTTTTAAGTATGCATTTATCCAAAAGAATATGCCTAGATGCGCATATTATAATTAGCCCGCCTGCAATGATCGCTAGGCGCACCATCGACACTGCAAGCAGACCCAGTATTCAAGAAGAGGATCCAGTATGTTGAACAGAGCTGCTGCGGAATTCTAGAGTTCGGGCAAATGGCTCTGAGGAATACGAGCTTGGTATGTTACGTGTGCGGTTGCATCGAATTCGAGCCTGTCCCACGGCCTTTGAAGCAATTCAGCGTGGGCCGTCTGAATGCCTGGGAGTTTCTAGAAAGCAGAGCCCTCGAATGCGTTCCTGTACAGGACCCTTTAGTCGAAGTGTTCTGCAAGCATGAGACTGTTCCCAAGCCCCACATGAAACCTACAGCAGCCGAGAAAAGCTTACAAAGCCAATAGAACCCAAAGACGCCTGACAGCCGCCAAGGAAGTACTTGTCCCTTTCGCTCCAGACTGGCTGGAAGCACGCTTTACTTGCCTGGCTTGCAACTGCTGCGGCCACGGAGCCACTCTGGGTTTTCAGCATAGGGCACAGTCCAGGCTTTAGCTTGAGGCTTGCTAGCCCGGGTTCGTGGTTTTGCTATCAGTTCTCAGGTCTCATTGTCTTGTGGCCATCATACGCTTCTGCCTTTTCGGAGGCCTCCAAACGGACCCCCCGGTTAACAATGGCCGGTCAGTCTGTTGACCTGCGCGTCGCTTTTGGTGTAGGTTTTAAGGGCTTCCTACAACCTATGAGCCTTCAAAGACCCCAAAAGCCACAAAGCCTTACAAGTGATCTTGAAACCACATTTTAAAGGACCCTAAGGCACAACTGTAAGAAGTGTTACTGCTGAACCGAATGAAATCAATCGGAGACAGGTTGCTCTGGTGCTTCGACGTCTTGCCCACACACGGCTTCTACAAGGCACCACTGAAGTCTTTACTGGTGGGCCTTTCAGGCTTGCAGGGATTAGGGTCTTAGGGTCTTATGGCGTTTTAAGTAGTTCTTGCGAGCCCTCCAAAGTTTCATCTTGAGGGACTCTTGGGGGGTGTCGGGCACGGGGTTTAGCTCATTCGTCCCCAACACCCTGAAGCTGAATCCTACACCCTTCCTAGACCATACCCTCTGTACTCTTGGAATATTTTCAGAATCCATCAGACAATGCTGCTCGGGCTTTGTTGGACACCTTTGGCACCGCAGGCAGCCGCACGTCTAAACACAAGGAAAGTCTCTGCCCTAACCCTCAACTGTGAGCCAGTAGCCCTCAAGCCCTCGGCAACTACTCTGAACCCTAAACCCGGAACCTCAACAGCAAAGTGTCTGAAAACTCCCAAATGGCGGCTGTTCCAAATTGTGCCCCTTGTTTTGGCCCTTGATTCAATACATGCGAACATTGGTGCATTTGTCCACATACCTTGCCTGTGCAATGCAGCACCCCCGTAAACATGACGGGCTTCGATCCAAGACATCGGGATTTAGGGGTGTTGCTTTCCCGACAGCCTACCTAAGAATCATGCCAGGAGCGCCCCGTGTTTGTGGAATTCGCTTCGGGTTGCGATGGGAGGTTTGAAGAGGATTGGAGGAGCTCTTTGCAGGCCATGGCGCAAGTTTGGGACCCTCCTCTGGTTTGGCTCATAGGAGCGGGGATCAAGACACAGTTGCTAATGTTCTCCGAACGCGGGTGTTTGGAAACCCTTGCTGCCCCCCTGCCTTTTTTCAGCGAGCTAGTTCCTAAAGGGCGAGCGAGGGAGAACGCAGCAGATCTCAGGTGCAGCATCCGGACTTCGCCCAAGACGTTCCTTTCGGGGGCTGGGCGATGTTCCTCGCAGTGCCTATGTCTGTCTTGGCACTGGCTCCTCGACACCCTAGGCTTCGGGTCCGAGGTTGGAGCTCATCAGCTTGGCAGGGCTCTGGAGTTCAAGGACACGAGGAGGCTCAGCGTCTAAGAGTAGAATTCACGTTAGAGAACGGCCGGCAAGGATCCAGGCATGTGTTGTCATCGAAGAGGAGGTTCACGGCATTTAGAACTATGACATGGACTGTGCTTCTTTGAAGATGTACCGCCTCGCGGCTCAGTCCCTACTTGTTCAAGATTCAAGACTAAGTTACTACTCATGGATCTTCGGTATCATTGGAAATACCATGATCCTTGCTACCATTGCTGGTGCTTTGTCCGTGTATCCGTGCTTGTATGAATCAAGTCGTTTTGTCTGACGTCTTGGGCACAGGGTTGGAGACCTAGGGACTCAGAGCGCCCCAAACCAAAGCCCCGCCCCTGCCTTATGCAGGAGAATATATTGAGTACAATATACTATAATTATAATAAGGAACCCCCAAAATAGTGTTAAGGCTCCCATATCAAACGTCCCTGAACCCTCAACAGAGCTAAACCCTGAAGCTGCAAAGGTCCTGGCCCCTCACTGGCCCAACTTCTGCCACCAGCCAGAGCTCTGCTTCTTGGACGTGGGGGGCCCTAGCGTTCAGAGCCGTAGAGCCTTCGGGTTTTTGCAACGTTTCGGAAGTAATTTTAACGTAGGCTGGCTCTGGTCTATGTATTCAGACACCGAAGAACGGTTCATAAACCCGCGCATTGCTGCGGCTTGCCAGCAATCCCGAAATAAAGTCTTTGGGATCACAACACAGAGTTGCAGAGGGCCTCCACCATTCCTCTAAACCCGAAACCTTCACCTTGAGGTTGCGAGCATCAACCAGGACGACGAGAGCCTCAAGCAGCAGGGGATTTACTCCCTTGGGGGCACCTCGCCGCAGTGTTAGTTGGAACGGATTCAACCTCAAACTAAAGGCTAAACCAGCGAACCTAGACGGTGATAAATACAAGCCGAAATGCCATCACAAAAAAATGAAGGCCGCACCTCAACAAGTTCCAAACCTCAACACAGCAAGGGAAGGTCATAAGTGGCCAAATTTTCCGAGAGGAACTGCTACAGAAAACTTGGCGCTATCGAACCACCCCTGTTTGGCACAGCGGTTCGAGAGCACCGCAGTCGGGAAGGAAATCTCTTCAGAAAATCTGATGCTATCGAACCGCTCCACGACGAGGCGTGGCACCCACCCCTAGCAGTGTGCCGGGGCATCTACCACAGGAAGAAGACCAGTTGAGCCGGGGCACGCTCCGTTGTAGACGCACGCTGCGTTTGGCGACAACTGAGCGTGGCCCTCCTTGCAAGAAATGTCCTGCTGATTCCCGGTGTGTTTTTAGATCGTTTGAGTTGCACAGTGGCAAGGGGGCACAGAGCTTGGCATGAGTTCAGGATACAGGTAGGGCGAAGGCAGGTAAGGTGGGCTACAAATGGCGGCAGTGGCACCTGAAGAGCCTCTTTTTTGTTTGCTGACACCAGTAGCCTGTCTACATGTCGGGAGAGCACGGCTGCCAAAAGACTAGCCACTGACAGTGCAGGGTGGGCGCTAAGAGAGAGAGAGATAAAAAAAAGATGAAGAGTTATGTGTAAGTACAGTGTTTTTTCACATGCTCTTATATTTTTCTATGCGTTTTCCAACCCTGTATCATAAAAGAATGCGAAACCCCACAAGATCCCAGGTTTCCTTCGAGCTTCCAAGGAGCTTCGCATCTTGTGGAGCACACCCTATCTGTCCAGGCGCTTGATGGTAGTCGTCGGGTTTAGGGTTTAGGGCAGCAGTGGTTGTTGTAGTAGAATAAAAAGTAAGAGTGACAGTAGACGCTGCTAGTTGGCAGTGGTGGTGGTGGTGAAATTTGGGGTGAGGGATCGGGGTGACTAGGGCTTTAGAATTTAGCTTCCATGGTTCGGATAGACTGCGAGAAGTTGCGAAGCCCACGCCGTAGACCCCACGCTCGGAAACCTCGCACACCTCAAAGCCTTGATGCAGTACACCTGGTCGCTGATCTCCATAACAAACAAGCCTTTTCTTGAGGCAGTCGGCCCTGAAGGCTTTGGTGCATTTTTGAAGTTGCTGCTTTCCGCACCGAGAACCCAAATGGTCAGATCACCTTAGCACCGCTGTACGTCGAGGTGGTCGTCGTTGTGCTGTGGTTTGGAAGCTTGGGGGAAGTGGCAACGCTGGATTTTGCTTTGGGGCTGATGGTTTGTGGGGTTCCAGACGACCTAATGCGAAACCCCCAGCATGATGTTTGCGATGCTCAGCGCTTGCGCTTGCATGTCTGAAAGAGGCCTGTCGAGGCCGCCCAACAACCCATGTAGATCTGCGTTGTCAGGATGATTGAGAACACAACAATCCAGCTGAGGGCAGCCCCCAACGATGCATCCATCTCAGGAAGTTGGGCTGCGATGATATCGGTCCGAATCCTTCAGATATCCCCAGCAGGAGCGGAGAGGTTTCCGCTTCCTTTCATACTGCCCGGACTTGCGCTTCCTGCTTTGCTGCTGTACCATGCCTTCCGGAACAATTTGGCAAGGAAGCTGGGAAGTGGATCTTAAGACTTTCTTATGTTGTTGTGCAAGGCTCCTTCTCCAGACATTCGGCTTCCAACAAGCGCTTAACCCTAAACCCTTGCTCCTGGGCCGTTTCTGGGTGACACCCGAGGAAGTTGCAGCTTCTGCGAGGCTTGGAAAGCTTCGACCTGGCGAAAACCCAGTGTGGAAAGGAGGAGGGAGCTTCAGAAGAAAAAGGGGCCCGAATGTTTAAGGCTTTGTGTATTTGTCTTTCTTGCTTTGCTTCGGAAGTAATTTCCCTCCAGAACAGTAAAGTCCCCAAGGTACGGACCTCTTACAAAAACCCTATTCAAATCAAGAACCATACAACCGCATGTAACAACCCTTGAGGAGGACAAGGAGTTCATTCATGGTGCCTTGGGTCAAAGCTGTTTGGGGTCATGGTTTACTTAAGCCTTAGACTTGAAACCCGAAATTCCAAATTCCACACCCTAAATCCTTGATCCCGAGCCCTGCATTTATTCGCCCTCCAAATCCTGAAGCACCCCAAGGCGCCATCGTGGAATGGTATGGTAGCCTGGAAGCTTTCACGACCTATGTGAAGGGCCCTTTGCGCGAAGAACTTTTACTGGATCACTCCAGCAACAAGCTCCCATTGGAGTGCCTTTCGCTGGGCTTAGGGTTTGTGCTTTGGAATCCGTCTTCATAGCCTCAACCTACAGGATTTGATTGCAAGCCTGCCTAGTGGTTTCAGATGAAGGTGTGCTGGAGTGCTTCTGAGTTTAAATTCCGGTGCCGAAAAAAAGACGCAAGCCAATAATGTCGAATTCAGAACAAACCCTGCACCATGACATTGATCAGGCATTCTTGAAATTCAGCAAAACTTTCCAGTGAGCCCTGTGGAATTGGACAGGACTTGGTCGCGAAATTTAGCAACTCTACAAAAACGACATCGCCGAGAATGCAAGGCAACGCAGACAAAACAGTGTCTCAGCCAAGTGCACAAACTGGAGCCCAAAATCCAAGATCCGGAGCGAGCGAGACGCCCCGAACCCCACAGCCCCAACCCGCGATCCTCTAACTTTCAGCCTGCGTTTGCACACGGAAAGTCACAGAGCCAAGCAAAAGCTAGTCAGGACTTTTGGTATCAAGGCAGGATCTTCATTGACACCGAGGTATGCTCTGGTTGTGGTGATGCCGATCAGCAGCTTCGGCTTGGATGGGCTCGTGGGGCTCATAAAAGCCAAGGCCTCGACCAACGTCGTCCTGTCTTTTTTATTCGGCTATGCTTTGGGGACCACATTTATTGGCGCAATGCTTTGCATTCAGCTGCTGATGGTTCTTGGCGGCGCGTGTTCCAGGGAGCAGACATCCATTATTGGCCGCGCAGCTCAATCTGTGGTCGTGTTGCTCACCTTGGGTGCAGGATCTGTCCTTGCTGTCAGAGTGGGTGTCATGGGATATCACGGTGGTGTCGCATCATCGTGCCTCACCTGCGTCTTAATGATGATGGCTTTGTGGCTCATCCATGCAGGGCATCGTCGAGCACAGGAGGTACACGCCTTTTGGCGCAGATGGAGGTAGATGCGCGTAGATCTAGCTTTTTCAGTCAGCATCACCAGTTCAGCGGCTGAAACTTGAACACCATGTTTTGAACGTGCGAGCTTTAGAACTTTCGAGCCACACCCTCGATCGTGGCCCATTGAAAAACAATTCGCCGTGCCCAAACTTTACAAATATTTTCCGCGTATGACTTTCTAATCAGTTTTAATATATATTTTTTATAAAATATTGAAATTTGAAATTCTACAATTTATATAAATATACATACAGGTATATATATATATATATAGATATGTATTCACTCAGAATTAAATTCGATAACTAAGCCAACGAATGAAAAAATTTATTCAAGTTGCATAAAAGGACTATTCATTTATGAGTGAAATCTATGATTTCGAAAAAAATATGTTTAGGTATTTCGTTTTTTTATTGATTTTTTATAATTGAACAAATTTCTCCGTTTTTTTCGAATTGATAATTTCTATGAATATATTTCTTGATTTATTTATTGTTGTTTTTAAATATCTGGCTAGATTTTGGAATATTTGAAGAAGTAATTGAGTATGAATAGGTTTGAATTTGTTTTGAACATATATTTCTTAAAAAGAAAGATTTATTTTTTAGAAAATATTTTAAAAAAATAGTTTTTTTTTTATTTGAAAATTCATTTTACGAAATGATTTATGATATTGAAGGCTAATTCTTATAGTTATGGAAATTGATAATTTTTTTGGACATCGAAATATCTAGATGAGTTTTTATTTATATTTTTTCCTTATATTGATTGTATAAAATTTAAATGAAAGGAAAATAAATAAATATCTATATTTTTGTTAATCTTTTTTTTCTTTTTTTTTCCGAAAATTTCGCGTAGGGTTATCGAATGAAATATACCGAGTTAAGTATATAGTCGAATTAATTATTGAAGTGTAGAATATCGGGTGCATGAAGTTTCGATATATAGAGTGAAATTTTTCGATTGAAGTGTATGATATTGAGTCTATAGACTATATATTTGATACTATGCACTTGATATTATATACTTGATATCTATATACTTGATACCTATGCACATGATATTATCTACTTGATACTATGTATTTGATACTATTCGACTTATATCCGACTTATCTATATCTCTCTTTTATTTTTTTCAAACCCGGATCCAGCCCCGACATTTCCGTCGGGAATTTAACCCTTGCCATGGGTTGGCGCGTTCGAGTGCGCGAATGCGTCGTAAAATAATTAATACTTTCTTGGTAAATATCTTTTTCTAATCGTTCGATGTAACGAATCGAAAATTACAATGGATTGGAATGCGAGGTAAAATTGTATATTTTCGCCACGGCGGGCAACCCTTCCCAAAGATTGGAATTGAGCGTAAGAACAATTATAGTTACATCTTCTTCCCACCGTTCAGCGTGACGTATCGAAAATTACAATGGATTGGCGTGGTTGGACGCACGATCGCGGTCGGCAAAAAATGTATCATTTCACTTCGCGTTTTTGTTTTGGAAAGGATTGCGCGTCATGTGTCATTTTACGACGCGTTCAGTCGCCCGACCAGGCCAATCCATTGCACGCCTCACGGTCGGAAACTCGCGTTTTTACGCCTGGGAAGGGTTGCGCGTCACCCCGGTAATGAGTCATTTTACGACGCGTTCAGTCGCGCGACGAGGCCAAATCGATGCGTCACGCCAAACGGTCGGGAAAAATGTGCCATTTTACGATGCGTTCAGTCGCTCGACCAAGCCAATTCATTGTAAAAATGAACGGGTTGCGCAATGTGTAATTTGCACTTCGCGTTTTTACGTTTGACCTAGCGAATCCCTGGGAAGGGTTACGCTCGACCAAGCCAATCCATTGCAAAAATCGATGCGTCACGCCACAGTCATTTTACAACGCGTTTTGACGCTGGACCAGGGTAAGCCAAGGTTGCATTCCCGAGGAGGCGTCGGGGGGACCGGATGGGTTATCCTAAGCACGGTTAAACATGTATGTGTTTTTGCCTGGCAAGAATCTTTTTCGTATGGGTTACGCCGCAGCAACATTGTCGGCGCTGGATACTACGATCTTCGTTCGGTGTATAAAAAAAACACACGATTTTCTATGAAGCGATTCTTATGGCCGTCTCAGTATTTCTAGCACGGCAAATCTTTCCTCATTTTCTGGGCATATATGCACGGCCAAATGCGTGTGACTGAGTCTTGTCACGGTCATTTACATTTTCGCTTGATATCACATCAGACATTGCTCAAATTAAGCATGACATTTAGCTTAACTTGTTCTAGCTCAATTTATTTAACTTAAATTGCCTAATCTTTCTAAACTAAACTCTAGATTTGATAAATTTGATATAACTTAACTTCCTTCACTTAACTTACTTATCTCCTAACTTGTCTTTCTTCTAAACTTATCCAAATGGTCTTTCCAAAGCCAGCTCGGCAAATCGGACCACTTGTGAATCTTCGCTCAAAGTGATGAGCTGGTGGCTGATATCTGGAGCTGAGTCCTTTAGCTCATCCTTTGTGACTTGACGCGTTGGAGGAGGCGCTTTCATGGGTACTCCGGGGAGGAGTAACAACGGTCGTAGGAGCCTCCTGCGCTGGAGGCGCAGGCTGCGCGCGTCCATTGCTTGCGAATGTTCCATCGTCCGAATGTTTCGCCAAAATGAATATGCTAGGAAAACAAACGAAAAGGGTGCTGCTAGCTCCCATCTTGAGGTTTTTTCCTGAAACACACAAACCTCGAATCAGAAAACAGCAAAGACATCAGAAAACAAATCAGAAAATAAAACCAGAGAGAGACCAAAAGAGTCCCGTTTCTTTGCCGCTTCTCATCCATCCGCAGTGGACTTCTTGTGATCATGAATTGGGTTTGAAAAGCGCAATGGAACAAGTACTGCGTCGAAATTTTGTGGAAGTATGTATTTGCGATGAAAAAATGAAAAGTAGACAGTCATGACAGCTTGGGCAATTCGGGCATGGTTTGGCACATGTTTGAAAAAGTCAATTTTTGGACAGATTTTTGCATGTTCGGTTTGTTCGGTTTTTTTAAAGCTTGAAGCAAATCCAACAATAAGTTTTTTAAACGAAGAACTGAAGCAACAAGCATATCCCGAACATCTTTTACAGGCGCAAGCGCCTAATTGCTCCAGGGCATGTTTTGGCTTTGCAAGAGGGCAGGGCTCGAAGAGTCGTTTTCGGTATTTACTGGTCTTGCTTATTTGGGTATTCGTCTTCGGCCTGAAGACTGGGTGGAATTACCTAAATCGTTATCTGAAAGAAAATCGGGCCAAAGAAATAAAGTTTTCTTTGATAAAGACATATTTTTTCAGTATCCACAAATCTTCTTATATACACGTGAATATTATCATAAACCGTTTCCGAGTATCAAAGATTTTATCGATGGATTATGGCATTTGACCAGCTGGCGTGACGCACCGATTTTTACCGTGGCTTGGCGTGATCGAGCGACTGATTACGTTGTAAAATGACGAATTTTGCGTGGCGCATCGATTTTAACCATGGATTGGCGTGGTCGAGCGACTGAATGCGAGGTAAAATGACATATTTTCGGCGTGTCGCAGTCCTTTGTGGGGATTGGTATTGTTCAGCGTGCATGACTATATGACTCTATGGACGACTTGATTGGCTGTGACCCACGGTATGCTTCGATCAGTCGGGAACTCCAAATATACATCATTCCAAGACATGGCTGGCCACCATGGCCGCACTTTTCCGTGGCAACATCCTGGCATTTGGCCTTTTTTGGCGCGCTAGCATCTGGCGGCAACAGCCCTTTCCCTTCGTCAATATAAAGCCAAATTCATTCGTTCACTTGTAGGGGATCGAGGGGTCAGCCTGAAGATCTTCTGTGCACACGAAAGGCTAGGTCTTAGCTAAGTCTTTGTTGTATCTCGCCGTCGCCATGAAACGTGACACTATATATCTCTGCATTGGAGACAAGCGGTCGTCACTTGTGGAGATATTGCAACCAGCGGCGACAGCGAATCTATTCAAGGCCGTTTAAAGAACAGGCAGGCCGTGGCATCGGCTCCAGAGGGGGCCGCGCTTGCAGCGATTCTCGATGACGGATCTGTTGTTGCATGGGGCGACCCCAATCGCGGGGGCACCATCGATCCAGTTGTGCAAAATCAACTAAAGAACGCGCGGCAGATTCAAGCGAGTTCATTTGCTTTAGTCGCCATCAAGGCCGATGGATCTGTTATTACCTGGGGTTCGGAAGCTGGGGGTGGCGACAGCAGCGCAACTCAGGGGCTTTTAATCAATGTGCAAATCATCCCCACTACCGGGAATGCTTTTGCCGCCATATGCGCAAATGGCTCTGTCGTGACATGGGGGAAGAAACCCTGTCGACGGAAGTTAGTCTAGCCGAGTGCAGAAGCAACTAAAAGACGCAACACAGATTCAGACGGTAGAAAAGACCTTTGCTGCGCTGGGGCCATATCTAGGGGGATACTTGGAAGAACTGCGAAACATCCCCGCCATCCAAGCGTATTCAAATGTTTGCGCGGTCATTCTAATCGATGGATCCGTTTCGAGATAGGGTTTTCGATTCAGCGGAGGCGACTCTAGAAGGTGCAAGAACAGCTGCGCAATATCGCCGCCATCTTGTCGACAGCTCGTGCGTTTGCAACGGGAATGACGATAACTTCGATGGTGGCGACAGCAGGCAAGTGCGAGAACGGCTGAAGGACGTCAGAGAAATGCAGAGTAGCCCTGGCGCCTTTGCGGTGTTTCTATACGATGGATCGGCCGTCACCTGGGGCTGGTGCATGTCTGCGGGTGACAGCAGAACCGTGCAACATCAACTGACGGGTGTAGACCAGATCGCCTGCACAGTGGTGTCGTGCAAAAATCAGCAAAAGAATGTGCGGGCTGTGGCAGCCTCCGCTACTGGTTTTACTGCCCTTCTTAACAACGACGCAGTCTTACATGTTCCTGGCTTTGCAACGTCTTCAGAGCTCTCCCTAGTTTGGACCATTGCTTGCTTGCTCG